TTTTAAGGGGAGACGCAGTCTCAAAGTTTCCCCTGACCAACCGCCTCTGTTGAATATAGCACATAAGTAAGGAAAACTTAATCCAAAAATTGCTTTCAAGTCACATAACCTATTAGGGTAAGTAAGTCGATGAAGACAAACATAAAATCTCAATAAATCTACAAATAGTAGTGAAAAAATATTTATTTTAATGTAAGTACATCGTACATAATATTACGTTTTAAATCCAGAAATAATCATAATTATTTTATTTAGTTACCTGGAACGCGATATTTTTTTTTTGGACTCTATTATATCCGGTATATCTAACATTCTTAGTCGATCTAGACTGTAACATGATTGCGCAATTTTTCCTTTTTCGACCCGACTAATTACACTATGGTTGCACAAAAAATGTGCAACACGATTGTGCACCAAATAATAATATGTGTATATACTATGTATAATAATTTATGTTCAACATAAAATAATGTATATAATATATACTTTCTACATATAATTTTCATATACATGCACTCAAACTTATTACCTATTAATTCACAAGTTTCCTTTCTAATTATTACAGGCTTAGAACTGTCAACAAATTATCATCGTTGGCTTGATTAAAAATTATTTTTTTTTAAATTACATTTATGCTAAAAGTATATACTAACATGGTCAATAGTCAACATTTTTTTTTATTAAAAATTGTTTTTTTTTTCTTTACTGATAGTCATATAGTTAATTATTATTATAACTATCATTAGCTCAATCAACTTTTCGTTTCGATTTTGAAAAAGTGCATTTTGTGAATTAATAGTTTGAGTGCATGTATACGCAAATTATATAAAGTATGTATTGTATACATTACTTTATGTTGTCCATATATTATTATACATACTATGGTATATACACATATAATTTGGTGCGCAGTCGTATTGCACCGGTCGATCTATATCTGTTTTTTTCAAACCTAAACATTTGCTTACATTATTCATTGCTTAGTTCATCTATATTCAAATATCCAAATGAATGTGATCATACTCGTACATCACATCGGAATGATAATAATTCTTCGATTAAAATGTGTTCTACATTATCCGTCGTAATTTCCACCAATTCTTCTATATTACAATAAACAAAAAGTCAAATTTAGCAAATCAACAAATAACATAAATGTAATTAATGATAACAATAAAAGTATTGCAATGTTCTCTTACTGCGTTAATAAGTCATATTTTAACTCTGGTTCGTCTTTGTAAAGAATTTAAGTTATTAAATCTTTTTTTTTTAGGATTTTCCTATTCTAGTATGAGTAGAATGCAATCATCTTAGCACCACTTCATTGATAAATATAATTAAATAAATAATTAAAAACTATCAAAATCAAATGATTTATTCACTAATCATGCGCCGCGTGCGTAATAAAACGTGTGTAATAAAATAAAATCGTTCAAAATAATCCCGCATAACATAAATTTCTTTGATCATGACCGGAAGATAAACGACCGGTCGATCATGTGCGTTGTAGGCCACGAACTCCAACACAACATACAAATATGTTTCACTCGGTTCAAACTCGTCTAATATTTAAGGCACGCATGTTCGTCAAAATTCAAAATACAACGCACACACATATTTTCTCTGATGTGGACGCACCTTAGAGCATGTTATGACTGTATTCTTTGAAAAAATTATGTTTGTTAATTATTAATTTGTTATTTTTAAATAATATATGACATTAAATTTTTTATAATTATTAATTAGTTTATTTTAAAAAATATGACACTATTAAAAGAAGTAGACATTTAAAAAACGAAAAAGGTTATCTCAAACCGGGTCTTGTATTTAGTGACCATGATAAGTAAATTTTCTACTTATTTAGCCTTCTCCTTAGTCCAAAGTTGTTGGAAGGATATCTGGTTAAAAATTGGTATTGGTCACCATAACTGATGCCATTTAACAATACTAATATTTTATAATATTTTTAAATAATTGAAACGAAACAATATATTTCTTAAATAAATATAAAATTAAAACTTAAAACAAATTTTTCATTTTTTAAGAATCGAAAAGAAATCAAAACATAAATTTTAGTTTTTTGAGAATCGACATCGAAACCAGAACCAATTTCTTTTTTCTATGAACTGAACTGTAATTAGAACCTTAAAATACATCAAAGTTCTGGTCCCTGATAAAAAGTGTATTTCATAAATTCTAAATTTCAATAAAAAAAAGATTTTAAAAATAATTTAATTATTATATCTATATCCAGGTTCTTACACTTAAAATTAACAATTTAAAATGTAAAATTGAATTATGTTTTTAGATAATTTACTATAAAATATTAGTACTCAAATCATTTAAAAGACAGAACTCATCAAGTACATAAAGGAAACATAACTTCCGACTCTTTCAATATTGATGCAGATGTTCCGCATGATAGTGACTTATCTACTGATTTATATAACATATTTACATATGATATACCCTTTGATTCAAATATGTTATTAGCAGTTGTTAGTGAAGTAAACAGGAGTACACGGCGAGTACCCACCTCCAATTTTGGATTAAAATGCGGGTACTTTTAACGAAACTGGTGGTGCGCGGTACACAGTGCATGAACCATATGGATTAACGTTTCCCAATCGTAACTAGTATATACAATTTATTTAGGAAATATTATTGGGTAATATTATATTATATTACAATATTACATTATACATAATATAATTACATTTATTACACTTTGATATCCAATAAGAAAAAAAAGGTAAGTGTAATTTGTTTACTATTATGCAGCGGCCGCGTACACAGATCTATTTTTTAAATAATTTAGTGATATTACAATATTGCTGTTTTGTCCAGTTATTAGTTATTTAATGGAATTATTATTATTATTTTATTTTAATATTCCATGAGTAATAATTTATCAATAATTTTATAGGTAGGTACCTACTAATAAACCGTGTTATGTGTTAACATCAAAATTAATAATATTATAAAATATTTTCAATTATTTACTTAGTATTTCCATGTTGTGTGAATTAAAGTGAATAACAAATATTTTCCAATTTATATTTTACTATATAAAATATAATTAACAAATTAATAAAACATATTATTATTAACATATTTTAAAATATTTTTTATATTATTAAAGTCATTCCCATTATTTGTATTTTAGGTCTGTAAGTGGGAGCGCATAAAATAACCGATAATATATTAGCCGATCCGTATTCTAGATGAAAAATAAATGATTCTACTCGTATTTTAATCGAACCGTATTCGAGCCGATACTCCTAAAATATGTTATCTCCTACTATCTTATAACGTATTACTAATTAGGTTATAGATAAGGATATAACATGATCTAAGATGTTTTTACGCTCTTAATCCCCTCCTTACCTAATTTTAGTGGTAGTAAAATTAAGTTTTTTAGTAAGTTTAAATAAAATTTAAGTAGGTATTTTGTGTTATAACTTTAAACTTTATTACCTGATTATATAATATTGTAATAAAATTATTAACTTATAAAATTATAGATTGTTAATGCGTATTAAAATATAAATTAAATAAAAATAATTTTCAGTTTGGCACCCCATAGCTTTCGCCGGTTCTGACTAGTACCTATCTGACTATCATAATATGGTATCTATAACCGTGGTATAAACTATTACCACGGTATGATATTACAATGCTCAAATGACAAATACTATTGGCTAAAATACGGTTCGACTGAAATATGTGTCGGCTAAAATACGGTTCGGACGAAATATGTGTCGGCTAAAATATTTTCGGTTGAAATAATGCCGGCTACAATATTTTCAACTTTTTAAAACTCCTCCTGTAAATAACATTATGATTAAAATAATTAAATAATATTTATATTATTATGGCTAAATTGAGTCCAAAAAAAATGCCACCGCTGAAAAAAATGTTTGGGAACCGCTGTTATAAAACATTCTATTAGAATCTATCAAAAATTTAAATGGAAAATATATATAAAATTAAAAATAGAAATTGTATTATCTTTTTTTTATCTTCTTGATAATCGTACATTTAATGAATAAATTTGTTTCAAAAGTTTCAGATTTAAAATGAATTACTGACAAAGATGTACATTATACGCAGTTCATAAAGGCTCAAGAATAGTATTAAATAGTATTTAAATTTTTTTTTTTTTTTTTTAATTGACATAAAAAAATAAAATATAACTATAAAAAAAATGAATAGATAGTTCATCTTATTTCAAGAATTATTTATGATTTTTTAAGTGCATAATTTTAGATATTTAGTTCAAAGCATATTTTGCCAATTTTAAGTGCATAAATACATGCTTATTTAGGAATTTTTTAGGGCATGAACTTACGAGCCCTGGTTATAAGTATAGTTTTAGACACCTAATGGTATACACTCATTGTGTTTGGTACAAAATCCGCTTATACAGTTCTTATTGACCTTGGTAAATACAAAAATATTCTATTGATGCAGTAATTCCAGACTTTATAACCGTTGAAAGCAGGGATGGTAATATACGTGTATAAAACGTTATATACGTTGCACGTATAATATCCCACGTATAAAATTACTAAAACGTATAATTCTATTATTTTATATAACATATCTATTTTAGTTTTTCATTTATAATCTATTAATATAAAATATTAAAAGTGTTACAAATATTCCAAGTACAATGAATTTACTATATGGTAAATACATCTGTAATAAAATAATGATAATTATTAACAATAGATTAATAGCACCACAATTGCTTATTTATAATTTATATTTTCTTATTGAATTGTGTTTAAATTATAAATGCTTTTTTGTTTATAAGGGATTTTATTTTTATATAATATAAAACCTATAAAACCTATAAAACTACTTGTTTTATACTATACGTTTTATATGTACGTATAATACGTGTTTTATACTATACCGGATTAAACATTTCAATCCTGGTTGAATGTTATTGAAAGAAGGATGTTATAATATTTGTAAATTATACTGCGATATAGTGTGGATAGAATACTGGACTGGTAGAGGTGGACATCATTCTCGTGGCAGACGGAGAACACTAATGATTTCAACTCCGTCGGTTATGCTCATAGATCGTAGTCGTCAACTATTCGACAATTTTCAAATAGATTTTAAATTATTCTTATATTGTTTGATTTCGGTATAATAATATTTAATATTAAAAAAAAATGTTTTACCCGTCGCTTCGATTGGTGGTCGTGTTAATCGTTGCGGTCATGCTTGTTCAAATCAACGGCCAAACCAATAATACCCAAATGCAACCTCAGTTGTGGGCCTCCGATTTGTTTTATCGCGCGTTGGCTAATTTCACCGTGCGAAATATTGGGAGCACCGCTTGCCGAAAGCAATCCGAGATGTACGATCGCAACTTAAGAAATCACACCAACTGGGCTGTAAGAAGTAAGTGTCAATATGGATACTAATGTTACGCAAACATATTACATTTGTTATAGTAAGTGTAAAATTATAGATGTTAATCATTATTTTTGTTTTAATTAACGTGGTACCTAATAAATATATAGGTATCTACTACCTATACATTTCAATTTTTAAAATAAAAAATTAAATATTGTAATATTTTATAAATTATGTTTTTTTTTTAACTTACACATTTAAAATAATTAAAATTCGCATTAAAATGTTATTTCCGTTTCTTGCTAATTCGAGCTTGATTAAATTCAACCACAAATGACAAAGACTTAAATATCACCTAGCATTCTTTTTTTTTTTTTCTTACTATAGTAAATGTGAAAAACTGATTTACAGTTAAACTTCACCTAATGAATACTTTGTTATAATACCAAGTACCTCTCGATAGCGACATTTTTACTGCTTTTCAATGGGAAAATCTCTAAATAAGGGACACTTATATAAAACCTAATTTAAAAATAATGACAAAATGGCAACAGTAATAAACGTTAACATTAGAAATTGTAATTTATAATAGTTATAACTAAGGCAGAGAAGTTATAGGATTTGCATGTTTTATTCTAGGCCTCTATTTTATAGCAAACCAAGATATAAATATAAGTCATAGGCCCCACAGTTGAAAACTAAATTTTTTTTTTCTTTTAATATTTCATGCATATTCTACATAAAAACTATTATATACTATATAGTATAAATACATTGTACACCATTTGATGCCCATGTAGACTATATACTTTACTATAGGTACACATATATTTTAGCTGAGCATTTGGATAATGTTATCGAAGATAACTTATCTTTATTATTATAACTTATTAGTTTTATGTCGAAGTAATTGGCATTTAAGTATCTCTATTAATTTTATATCAATATTATTATGTGTCCAGAGTTCACTGTTCGTCAGTAATTTTGTTAGTATGGTATTAAGTGTCGTTCGATACAAAACTGCGTGCCGTTTGTTGTATTTTCCATGCTTACATTTTTTCTTTTAACATTTCTGCTAACATTTTGCACAATGTCAAAAATAAATGCAAATATATTTAACAAGTATGTGAAACAGTTTGATGAAGATACATTTGCTACTTTATTGTAAGATTTGTGAAGTTAAAGTAAGTGCTGATAAAAAATTTACAGTAACTCAACATATAAAAAACAAATAAACACGAACGATTATTAGCTCGTCGAAATAAACCCGCAAAAAATAAACAACAATTTATATCACAGCCGTCAAACAAAAAATCTGTTTTTTCACATGATTTATGCAAGGCTTTGATGTGTGCAAACATTCCTTTAGATAAAATTTCTAATGTTCAATTCCGATCGTTCTTTGAAAAATATACTCTAAATGATATTCCTAGTGTATCTACGTTGAGGAAAACTTATACAAACGATTGCTATTTAGAAGCTATTGATCAAATTAGAAAAGACGTGGTAGGAAATAAAATATGGGTTTCTATAGATGAAACGACAGATGTGCAAGTGAGATATATTGCAAACATAATAATCGGAACTTTACTGAAGGATAGATCCGGAAAAATATATTTACTAAATACCGAAGTTTTAGAAAAAGCTAATTTTTCTACAATAACCAAACTTTTTGACAGCTCAATGTTTTTCCTGTGACCCAACGGTGTTCGTCATGATGACGTCCTCCTATTTTTAAGCAATGCTGCGCCATACATGAAAAAAGCAAGTACAACTATATAGGCTTTGTACTCCAAGATAATCCATATTACTTGTGTAGCACACAGATTACATAGATTGGTAGAAAATATTCGGAGTCATTTTCATAGAGTTGATAAATTAGTAGCAAAAGGAAAGCAAGTATTTTTAAAAGCACCTTCGCGTGTTTTATTTTTTAAGACAGAAGCTCCCGGAGTCCCTCTTCCTCCCGAACCTGTACTTACACGTTGGGGTTCTTGGATTGAAGCTACTTCTTATTACATTATTACATAACAACTGCCAATATTTTAAGCAAGAACGAGATATTATGCAACATTTTGATTCTAGCTGTATCTATAAAAGAATCTAAAGCCTTTCTAAATGAAATTTCAATGGAACCAATTTTAACTTTTATACATTCAAATTATGGGTTTTTACCATCAACCATAACTAAATTAGAATCACAAGGAGTATCATTACCTAACTGATTCAATAACAACAGTAATTTTCACAAAAAAGAAATTGGACGAAGTTGCGGGTGACGTTGGAATGAAAGTAAATACCAAATTTAACCAATTTTTAAAAAAAATATTATGGGTTCGCAATAATATTAAAAATTTTAAAAATTTTGAATGGAGAAAGTTCATCAACGGATAGTTTACCAGAAGACCTAACGGGAAATGATTTAATATTTTATAAATATGCACCAGTAATATCAACAGACTTCGAAAGAAGTTTTTTTCGGTACAAAACCATACTGGCTGAAAATCGGCGATCATTCGACGTAGAAAATATTAAAAAAAACATTAGTTGTGCAATGCAATAATTTATCAGGTGAGAAAAAATTTATTTTAAAACTATTTTTGTATTAATTTAATTAATATTTATTTTAAGAATAAATCCAAAATTTGAGATTGAAGAAAACCTTACTAACATCAGCGATCATTCGACGTAGGAAATATTTAAAATAAAATTAATTGTGCAATGCAATGATTTTTATATTTATTTTATATCTAATTTTTTTATTTTCTAAAATATAATTTAATTTTTTTTGTGCATATTATCTTGCATATTTAATGAATTTGAATGCATATTTTCAATTTTTTTATGTGCATATTTGTATGCATATTTTTCCAATCTTAACTCCTATAACTTCTCTGCCCTAGTTATAACGCTGACGACTCGTTACTTGTGCATGACATCCCTATAATAAAACACAAATTACATAATTTAGAATATAAACAAGAAACTTACTATCATTGCCATTTACTTAAAACACCCTTTTTTAGTTTTAAGAAGTATAAAAAATAAATTGTGAACAATAAATCTACAATTAACATCAGCACAATTATGAAGCTTATTTGATGTACATACCTATTTTTATTTCAAAATATTAAATATTCTAATATTTCATTATGTTTTAGAAATCATTCGAATGATAAAAAGTATTATTAAATAAAAAAAAAATCTTTTAGACAATTTTAAATATTTTTTCTGTTTCCAATAAAATATAAATATTCATTATAATAATATATATATACTAATATTTGTTATAAATAAAATATAAAGTAACATATAATTAATAAATATATCTTGACTAAATATATTTTTTAAATTTTTTATTATTATTTAATTGATCCCTAAGATTTTCCTATAACGGTTATTAGCAAATAATTATGATAATACATCGTTTTCCAATATGTTTTTACAATTAATGTTCTTATTTTTAAAATTAAGTTATATAGAATAGAGCAGCGGATCCCAAACTTGTACAACCACGGAACCCTTAGTAAATATTTTTTGTTTCGTGAAACCCTAACGTTTTAACTTAACTTCAATTCTGCAATTATTATTACTGTAAATTATTATTATTATTACTGTTCTTAATATTCAAGAACATTTCGCAGAACCCTCATGATTGTCCCACAGAACCCTTAGGTACAGCGTATAACTTGTCCCATGACTAAAATGTTATAAAACATCTCTTTAGGGACATTTGGCAAAGTACTTAAAACAAATTTACAATAAAAAAATCAAAAATTAAATAAAAAAATGTACATAGAATTTTATTGTGATACTTCTTTTTGTTTAATATAAAGGTACTTCAAATTTCAGTACGATGTAAATCTAAATATCTCATTTTTTATATTCATTTACTTTCGTTGCGTGTATGGAATTTTGCAAGGCTTTGCATCCGAATAATTTTTTCGGGTTTCGGGTTTCGGGTGTTGAATATATTTGGATATTAAAATACCGCAATACAACATTTAAACAAATGTTTGGGTACCGTTATTATTCGGATTAATATTGGTTAATACGGGTGTTAAGTAGTCAAGGAAAAATATTATTTTTCATTGGTGGAGGTTTGTGGGGAGGCTGAGCCCCCCTCCACTAATGAAATATTTATATTTTTTGTTACCTAACTATGTAATAAAATATCAATTTCTTATACAACTGTGCAACAGTTTTTTAGACCAAACTATCATTATGTTAATTTCAAGCAATGGTGTAACTATGATTTATTTTCGGGAAGAGGGGGGTTATTTTATATGTGTATGAAGCTTATAAATTATAATATCTATTAAGATTAAAAGTATTAACACTATGTCCTATTCCTAATTAATGCGGCCATATCGCATGCGACAAAAAACAAACTATTTTGTATTCTGCGTTTGTGTTTGTGACATGGGCGGAAATTCGGGGGGGGGGGGGTCTTGAGGGGACTAAACCCCCCCATAAATATAAAGAACAGGTCTTAGCCCCCCCTAACTCTAAAAATTGTTAAGAGACTAAAAATACAATAATTATAATAATTGTAAAATGCATTTTTAATAACTGAATTAAAAAATAAATATTCTGTGATAAAAATAAAATAAAATTTGTAAGATTTTACAAACTTCTTGTCATGACTTGGAACGATCGCAATTAATGTAATATTAATAATATGTAATAATACCCATATAGGTTGTTTAATTTAATTAATTAATAATCTCTGTTTAGAATACCTATTCCAAAAATGTTTAAGATAAGGCACCTAATTGTTTTTTTTGTTTAAATTGTTGATTAAAAATGTCAAATTGTCAAATTTCATAAATTGCCTTGTTGAAATAAATAATTGCGCACAGTGGTCTCTATAGGTGTAATAAGCAAATAATGCTCAGCCCCCCCCCCCACAAATGTCATCAAATTTCTGCCTATGGTTTGTGGTACGTGCTCACACTAAAAACGCACTAACTAGAACATAGCGTAATACAAAAATAATAATAATTTGTACTTATGAATGTTACGATGAAATTATTACACCAACC